TGGTATCTAAAATTCAAAATATGACTCATTCATACATAACTTTTTCACACAACATCCAATCTAGCGGATTTAAGTTGGATTAGAAAGCTAACCGAAAAGACTACAATTTTCGTGTTTCGAATTTTGCCAACAAATAGATATATGTCAAAATCAGGTTCGAAGTCAAAATGACATTAGTAAAATTGAAAGACATTTAACATTTCAGTTCATGTATTCATGTATTTTTTGCTGTCATCATTAATTGTTAAGTCAACAACTAGATGTTGTTAAGACTAGGTTTAATTAAGTGTTTAAAAAGTGTCGAAAAAGGGTTTGAACCGAGTCAATTAGGTCACATTTGTTCTTATGAATTTTGTAACAAATATATAGTTGTTTATCGAATGTTACTAAACATATATATTTTTTATGTTTTATGTTAGTGTCATTGAAGATAGAAAAAAAATGGTATTTGTTTTAGCCGCTTCCTTGGTAAAGCGTCGGCTAATTATGTGTGACAAACTCCACATAGCTATCGTTGGTAATGAGATTCGATTATGGGTCAATAGACACAAATTCACTTGCTCTAACCGCTAGACTATTCCTTGCGGGACAAATTCTTTTTAAACTTGAATGAGTCTTATATAGTTCACCCTTAATATATTCTACCACTTCTCTTAAAGAAATTAAAAAATTTAAAAAATGTCCACGTCATCATAGTCAACCTTATTATCATAAACATAGCTTTGTTGCTACTTATACTTTAATGTTATAACCTAATATTATGCTTTGGTGTGTATTATTGCACAAATATTCTCTTACTTAAACTATTTATATGTAACCTACTATGTTTAGGTACGTATAAAATTGCACAAATATTCTTCTACTTGACCATGTTCTATGAAGACATCATCCGACCATTAGCCTTTATCTACTATCAAAGAGTAATATTGCCAAAAATATCCACAATTTTATTTTTATCTAATTTTAACCTAATTTACTTTCACACCCAGAAATAGGCGAGTAGATTGGATAAATTTTATGATTTTTGCCCGATATCGGTCACAAAAATTCTGATTTTAGAACAATATTTTCCTCTTGAATTCTAAAAGTTACGATTTTATTTTTATTTTTTTCCAATTTTTTTCAAACATCATTGAAATACATATAGAATTCGATTTGACGAACGAAATCTATTTTCAAATAAATATTTAAAAGAATCGATTCCCCTCCGATTTTTTTTTTACGCTTGCCCTACCAATATTGTTTGGGTAAATTATGGCCATCCCCTGAGATAAGGTCAATTTACGAAAAAATCCCTATGTTTGGGTAATTACAACCACCCCATCAACTATGAATCTTTTTATATGTCCATCTTTGTAGTGTCAAATTTAGTGGAATCTTCTAGATTATGAGAAATATTCTCCAACTTGTATCCGTTTTATTTCATTCCTCCACCATATTTTGAAATAAGATGATCATAAGATGTGTGTCTTACTTGTAAATATCAGATTGAGGTACATTTGAAACTGCCTTATTGCACAAAAGAGTACAAACTAGAGAACATTTCACGAAATTTAGGAAATTCTATTGAATTTGACATAATAAAAGTGGACGTGTAAAAAATTCATAGTTAAAGGAAGTTGTTGTAATTACCCAAATATGAGAGTTTTTTTTTTTTTGGGTAATTTGACCTTATCTTTTACTCATATTATTATGTATTCATATTATAGACGCGTAGACAAATGAAAAATCCGAATTCCGCACATTTAAATACAATTTTTTTTTTCTGGAACAACATTTTGGTTAGGGATGGCAACGGCTCGGTTCTGGGCCGGGTTTGTCTAAACCCAAGACCCGACCCACGAAAAATATTAAAACCCAAGACCCGCTCCAACCCGTTTTAGCTTAGACCCAGACCCGCCCCAACCCAGACCCTAACTAAACGGTTCTGACCCGCGAGACCCGCTAGACCCGTTAACATTCAAAAAGTTTAATATTTTTTGATTTTCATAACATTTTGCTTGTATATTTTTACCAAATAATCTCAATACTAAAATACAATATATTAAAAAATCTCTACAAGTTATATAACATGAACAATAAAATTACAATTAATTATATTTAACTTCGATAATAAGTAAAATTCAAAATGCAAGACAATTAGCGGTGGTCGACAAATGATAAATATTAATAGGTTGATGAAAATAAAATATTACAAGAAATGAGAGTCGAAAAATAACACAGTGACAATAGGTAAATGAGAATAGACAAGATGAAAATTAATAGTTTGATAAATGAAATCCGAAATTATATATATATATATATATATATATATATATATATATATATATATATATATACGGGTCGGTTCTGGGTCGGTTCCAATAAAACCCGTAACCCGCCCGAGAACCATCCGGTTCTAGAAACTTAAACCCATTACCCGACCCAGAACCATTTAGCTGACCCAGACCCGCCCCATACGGGTCGATTCCGGGTCCAAGACCCGCCAAACCCGTACCCATTGCCATCCCTAATTTTGGTTCCAATTTTCTCTCTCTCTCCCTCTCTCTCTCTCTAATGGAGTTGGAATTAGATTTTTAATTCCAAAAAAAAAAAAATCAAAATTTCTAAAAGTATTAATTAAAATCTGATCCATCTAATTTATATTCCTGGTGCTACAGTTTACGTGCATGAGCTAATCGAGTGAATTTTTTTTCGGGTGATGTAGTATCATATAAAGTAAGGTAAATTACACTTACCTTCTTTAGATATGGTAAAATAATTTTAAGGTTTCTGTGGTATTGGTAATTACAACCACACTCCTCAAACAATTATTGAAGCCAAAATTTTGTGTCCTAGGGACCGGTATGCACTATATTTGTTTCCAGCGGGGCCGTTAATGCTACCATAGACAAAAAAATATTAATCTTATATAAAATAACAAAAAATTAAGAAATGTTATGAGAGTCATGTCACCGCTTAGCTCTATATTGTCTGTACAACTGCCTAAAACTAATAGTTCGTTAGAACACTAATGAAATAACTTATCAAATGCATGATACCGTTAGGTTTTCAAACAATGTTTCAGAGAGGTGATTGTAACTACGTATACTGGAGAGATCTTAAAGTCATTTTAGTATAAGTCAGGGATGTATTTGTCATTTTATAACCACATTTTGTCAAGATAAATAACATAGATTAATAAAAATAAGAAAAATAAGAAAAAGTATTAATAATAATAATAATAATAATAATAATAATAATAATAATAATAATAATAATAATAATAATAATAATAATAATAATAATAATAATAATAATAAGTGCGTTTTATAATGATTAATAAGTAATAACTTCCCCCAAAAGGCATCATCAATTCATCTCCAACAAATCCCCCTTCAATCACCGTTCTCTGGTAATTTCTCAATTTCCAGAATATTCCAAACACTTGTTTTAATATTTTACTCCCTGCCTTTTCTTCTGCAATATATATTTGTATAATATATACACGCACACACACACACATTCAAATATATCTGATTCAGTCACATGTTGATTCGTCGTCGTCGTCTTGCTTGGTGAACGGAAAAAAAAAAAGGTGTTGATTACGGATTGTATGATTTCAAATATGCGATGGATTGTTTCGGTTTTTTGAACTTTTAATTAATAATTTTATTTTATTTTGAAGGAAAAATGATGTGGGAAACGGGTTTTGGAATCGGGTTGATGAATATTTTATCGGGTCGTGATACTCCACCCAAAGAACTGCTCTGGTTATCCTCTGTTTTTGCTGGGATTTTTATGTGCAAGATTGTGAGTTCTCTCCCTTTCCTTCTAATTTTGATGCCCTTTTTGTTTTTTCTAATATTAATTTGCTTGTATTGCATTTTATTTTACTGGGGTTACTTTTCATATTTTAAATTATATGGGAGTTGAATTTAGTAGTCTTGTAAGAATATTTTGGATGAGGGAAGGCATTTGTCAACTGCATTAATGGTGGGTGTGGCTTTCTTTTCCGTGTGTCTGTGTGTGTGTGTGTGTGTGTGTGTGTGTGTGTGTGTGTGAAGTTTGACAGACGATTCTTGTTTTTGCCACGAGTGTGTGTGTGTGTATGAAGTTTGATACACGATTCTTGTTTTTGCCACGTGTGTGTGTGTATGAAGTTTGATACACGATTCTTGTTTTTGCCACGAGTGTGTGTGTGTGTGTGTGTGTGTGTGTGTGTGTGTGTGTGTGTAT